CTATAAGTTTCAGTCTTTCTAGTGTTAAGTTCATGAATAAAACAAAACTGATAGATGGGTTTATTATTTAATTATAGAATATAAGACTTTAATGATATCATGCAGCGGATAAGGCCGACTTCATGGGATATAGTTGACCGGACATCGAGCACACAAAGTGTTCTTCCGTTTCGACGATTCCCAGGAAGTTGGCCAACACGTAAGACATGACTAACCGCAGGTGAACCCTTTTTTTCTGATTTCAGATCGATTACCGATCAGTCGATAAAGTAAAGCGTCTGGAAGAACAGGTCGAATCCAAAGAAGAATGACGCCCATGTGATATGCTAGCCTGGAAAGAGAGAAGGAACATTTGGGGGAGACAGCCGCGCCCTGTTCGTGGAGCAGCAGCGCGTTCTCTGTTTACCATCCTGGTCATCGTCGCTGCCTGGTGATACGAAATTACGAAATTCATGATTAATTTACTCTTAACTATGCGTATTCTTAGTTATGCGTATACCAGGAATTAACTACGGGCTCCGTTGTACAATTCATTTGCGGCGCGTTTCTTTTTGGCTTCATCCGCGAACGAATCGGAACCGCGGCGACAGATGCTGAGAGGTCTTAACTTTCGCGTCGTGCCGATTTGAGATTGGGATACGAACGGGGGAGATTGTTGGGGAGAATCCGATGCCCGAAGGTTCTCACCGTTCGAACAGCAGCGTCGCGATTCGAATTCGTGTTACGATTACAAAAGAGATCCAGCCGCAGACAAATGATAGAGAGGAAAGTCAAGAGCGTGCGTGTTCTGTGTGAGCGTTATGTTCCCCAGGTTTCTCCGCGTTATTGTTTTTGTCTTTTTCCTACGCTGAACCGAGAGAACAAGAAAATCACGAACGTTTTTGTGAGCGGTTCGCGAGATGCCGGGGTTCATGGACGGTATGTACCTCGGGCATCCCTCGTCCTTGCACGTCCTTCGGTTCGTTGATCGAATCTGCCACCTTCGCTCGCTTTCTGTCTATCTTCCTTTCCGTGTCCCTCACTCCCTCCCTCCCTTTGTTTCTTCTGTCTACCACTTCTCAAATAGTTATTTCCGTTGAACATTTTCCTCCCGAGCCGCGTCTTCCTCTTCTCTTTCTTGCTTTATCACGTACAGATTCGTACTAGCTTCGGCACTGGACATCGGATAGAGAGAGAGAGAGAGCGCGCAGCGCGTTGTTAACATGCAAAGCAAGCCAACCGGTTAGAGCCCAGTCGGCTGTGATTGAGGACCGTTCGACGGTCTTCCCCGATGATCAAGTGTCGTCGCGTGCTGTCAACCTCGCGCCCACGACCGTCCCGGCTATTAAAGTAACTGTATAAATCTCGATCCCATCCACTTGATTCTATTCTCAGTTACCTGTTCCGTAAAGAATGGGTTCGACGAGAATCGACAGGCATGCTGTGGTTTTAACAAACCGAGTTTTTGAAAAACCGTATCCGCTGTATACTGCCTAGAACTCCTCGCTGTTTTCCACCACACAGGATTTCTCGTTGATCTCGGTCTGCTCTTAATCCTCGCGTATGGCCCATCGATGCCGAGCGGACGCTTGTAAATAAACGCGACGAAACATTTCTTGACGCGAGATCTGTACGTGTACATACCATGCGGATTGGACGGTGCCAAGCAGCTTTCGATTGGCAAAGAATGTGTAGGTGCCCGCGATCGGATAACGTGCACGTGCACGGGTATTAAGGGATCCCATTATCAAGCGAGTCCTCTTGTCGATTGTCAGCGACCGATCTCGTCCATCAAGCCGGGGGAATATAAAGAAGGTAGCGAACAGAAATGAATCACGATATCTTGTATAAATCTGAATCGAAAACAGTGCGTGGATCGAGCAAAGTCCAGACGGTTAAAACGCCTCTGCAGAATGTCCGGAAGTGGAGCTGCGTCCGTTTAATAAGCGCACTCTATAGCGCGTCTATAGTAAGAATAATGAGCGTTCCGGGATCGTTAGCCGCTATCTGTATCACGTTCGCTTCTTGAATTCGTCATGGAGCGAGGAACGTGTATCAAAACAAGAAAGGAGGATTCGACGTACGTCGGAATGGGAGAGATTGGGTGAGTATTCATTTTGCGTTTGTTAAATGGAAGCGTTTCGCCTCTACTGTATATTTAGCTGCATGTATGATCCAACGTAATCTAGTAACGTCCACGTAGGCGTTAAGACTTCATTTTTTAACGTGTCGACGGATTAGATTGTTCCTGGAGATTTGGGACGCAGGTAATCGGCCCAATTGCCTGTGTTCCGAACATCCTTGTCTATATATTTGAAACTAATCTAGATATAGCCCATTAACTGGCTATCTGCTATACGAATCGTGGAATGACCGTGTCACTTGTTGCAAGATAAAGAAATTTCGAATTTAAAATCGACTTTCAATAAAAGAATTTAATAACGTTGTATGTGGTATACTCGATTTATACACGGGTATGAATTTATGAAATGAGCTTCGATCTGACGGACTGACTGTGGCTCTATGTAGCGTAGCCTTTGAACGGCCAACTATCATTTGTGTTAGTCGGACAAGAATCTATTCTCCTTTTTGCACGATCGGCAAAAGTTTAATTAAACTGCGCGATCCCGCTAATTTCCGTCACCGTCATTTGAGCCTGGAGGTTTTTTTGCACGTTATGCGAATGATGTTACACAAAATTGGGCTAGACGCGAAATCGATTCACTTAAACCTGATCGAATTTCCTTGTTCTCGCCAATCGTGCAGTTTAGCCCCTTCGCTAGTGAGGTGGAAGTCTTATTACTTTACTGGTGAGGGTTGCTATTACTTTACTCTGACAATTGCGTCCTTGAATTTTTATATAGATATAAATATATTATAAGCATATATCAGTACATGTATATGTATGTTTTCTTTCCGAAAAAGGGTGCAAATCTTTTTAATAGATATATACAGTGAGAATAAAAATTGCTTTCCTAATCACCTAATCATACATCTGTTTTATATTCGTACGTAAGAAAGAAACGAAATAATATTCAATGGAAATTAGTCGACGTACGTTACACGTGCAACGTTTTAACTGGATTCAGTGTGGCTGGAACGATTATTAATAAATTATGGGTAAAATCTTGTGTGCATACTCTATGAAATATTTTATATGTACATAATGTCCGCTCTATGAGAATAATCGAAAGCACGACGTACAGAGACTTCTTTTTATTGTACCACGAGAGATGATGTCTTATTGTTAATAAGTATACGTTTCCTGGCTCGAAAGCAACATTCGCGTTAAGGGAATTTGCTAGTTCGGGGCAAGGGAGGAGAAAGAGGAGGAGGAGGAGGAGGAGGAGGAGGAGGAGGAGGAGGAGGAGGAGGAGGAGGAGGAGGAGGAGGAGGAGGAGGAGGAGGAGGAGGAGGAGGAGGAGGAGGAGGAGGAGGAGGAGGAGGAGGAGGAGGAGGAGGAGGAGGAGGAGGAGGAGGAGGAGGAGGAGGCGCGATGGTTGCGCGGTCGTAATCGAAAAATCGGCGAACGTCTCAGTTGTATGATGCGACGCAATAAAACGACCATTGAAAAACTGGTCGTTCCATCTTACGGCAAATTAATTTTCAAATAAGAACAAACAAGAACACCGAGGGCTGTCTCTTCGATATGCTGTTTCATGCTTGGGTCCTCCTTTTTTGCCTCCTATGCCGCTGGTTCCATCGCGGTAACCTTCCTACCTACGTCCCCTCGGCCTCCCGACCCACCTCGATCTTTTTTCGATTTTCTCTCTTTCGCACCGTTAAAACACGTTCCGAGCAAAAATTTGATGAAAAACGATTGGTTGTTACTATACACTTAATGACTTGGTCCGTTTAAACGAATTCACGTAGCACTCAACATCGGTGCGCAGGTACTTCGGTTTGCAGGAACGAGTTTTCGTCGTCCGGCAATTCCCATCTTCGCCGGACGTGACAGCACCTATCGATAAACTAGATTTGTAACGTGCGGATTTATATCCTGTATTAATTGATAAGAGGACGTAGAAAGTAACAGAACGTTGAGAAGAGAGCTTTAGCCAGGTGGTACGAGATGAAAATGTGGGTAGAATCCGAAAGAACTCGAATTAGTGTGATGTTTGCAAGGAGATTGACTAAATTATATGTATGAGCACTGGTCACGCTCTGAGTGCACGCGCATCTGAAATTATAAAAGTATCGCGCTACTTGCATACCGGAAATGACGCAGTTGCACGCAAAAGATTGAGAACGAGCCCATCGATGCATATCTTCAAATTTTCATTTAAACGTTTCATTCTTTAATTCTGTGGACCGGGTTTGATTTAAATTTTGTTTAATTAATTTAATACAATTCGCTGAACGTTCATAAAAAATTTCTGATATCATCCAGTAGTAAAATATCGTGCGTTACGTATTGACTCTTTATGGTTGCTAGTTTTCGTATCTCGTTCGATCGTGTTTCTCGTCAATTGCCCGGTAGTTTGTGAACGAGTGTGTGTGGGTTACGCGCCACAGTTTTTTCTCACATTTTTCCTTTCTTCATCCGAGGTAGCTCAAAAGCATATTCCGTGTTTGTTTCCCGAGAAACGAGCCGGGCTCGCGTGCGGGGCCAACAACCACGTAGTGTCGCGCACCGACGCTGCGCGAATGCAATCGAGAGACACCCCGTTATTTTGTTGTCTACAAAACGGTACCGGCACACAGTACAGGCTTAATAACGTGTCAAGCATGTTTCGTGCACATCCGAGTGCGGTGCGCGGTTGTTAATATTTAACATAAACGATCCCGAATGAGTTAATGTCTTACAATTTCGTGCTTCCGGCAGCAACTTACGGAAACCCTTTAATTTGAAAAGTTACAACTTTTAGCTCTCCGATACTGTGCGGTTGCAGATGTTTGAGAATTGTTGCGAACGAAAGGTGTTCGACGAATGGAATCGATTCCGGTGCACCGCTCCCGTTCAGCTGCCGAGATCGCTGGGACGCACGAACAGACATAGAAACTCCTCTTTGGAAAGTCCGCGGGACCGGAAACGTGATTTCCCATTCACGGTTCGGTTGAGAAACCTCGATAAAATTCTCAACAAAAATCGCACACCGCACCGGATGAAGTTTCATTCGAAAAGCATCAAAGATAGGTGAAAGGAGTCAACGAGAGTCGTCATTCTAACGCGAAAGTTATGAATCTGTTTCGGACAGAGATGTTGCAAAATTGCGAAATCTCATGACAGATTCAATCAAGTTATACTTGAAGCAAATTAGTCGATTAATCTTGATAACTGTATGTTTATTTTAGACTTTAATCTACTAATAGTTGGCCCCGTAGATTTATTTATTGTTTGTTTCCTTTTTAAAGATTAGTGTTTTAATAGTAAGCGTATGTACAGTACAATCAGTCAACTTTAATTGTAAACAGTGAATACTATAAGGCTCACGTTATTTTATTTAATCCAGAGTTTCGGTATTACGTACATGTTCTTAAGATCGGTTGCGGATATTCGAAGAACGTTTGTTATACAGATTTCAGTCTATCATTTCATAATGTGAGAATTCAATCAGCTGTCTTAATTCTTCACGTTACGCGCAAGCTTCCGCTATCTGTTCTTGAACACAAGTGAAATAACGAAAGAACATCTCGCGTGAAGAAGCGGCGGAGATGTAATTGAATCGTATTTTTTTAATGCATAACAATCTCTTCTTCGAGGACATTCCTGTTACAAGGGGCGAAATTCACCGTACTATCGTTAAGACAGATTTAACACGTAATTACACTCTGTAAATAAATACAAGCTGTGTTTCTATAAATCTCCTTTCTCATATTGTAATACACTTATTATTATAGACGTGAGGTGACACGTATGCAAACAGGCTTTCAACAACCGAGTTTATACTTTTCAGCCTGAGAACACCGCGGCGAAGAGGTAATCAATATTTTTACCCTCAACTATTTTTTATTCTTACCATTCTGCGGTCGACAGCTCCTATTACGTATTAATAAAGCAAGATAACGGGCGTTTTCGTCACTGTTTCAATTCGATCCCGTTTACACGGATCTCATTGTTATAATAAAAGAATATGTAAAAGTTCCATGTAACATTGAAAAACGGCGATATATATATATATGTATGTATGTAATAGTTCTCATGTATATTAAAAAGTGTAATTCTGAAACGACGATGATATCCTATAATAATTGTTCAAATGTTTCCAAGAGTCGACTCCAATATCACGATATAATGAAAACCGTATAAGGTAATACGATTAAAGGACATGTAAGACATTTATAATAATAAAAAAACAGGAGACTTGAGGTACGCGAAATTAAGCGGGCGCCTGTCGCAGTATAAAAGTCCTTGGCTCGACTTCATTTATTTCGTCGTGACACAGGATTTCTTGTTAAGCGCGAGGGGTGAGCATAAAAACCTCTCTATCGATCGAGTAATTATGATCGGTGCTACATATAATGGTACGGGATATTTCTTTCCTGTACCCCGTTTTGTACTTTCTCCGTCCCCGAGCGTTCACGTGATTGGTCGTGACGCGGCGCGAACGACACACGGGTGGATGAACATAACGAGGATTTTACAACTCGATGACAGTTTCGCTTTTACAACTTGTAAGATATCGCGTAAAAGTATCCGGAACCATGTTCGGCGTAAAAGAGGGGCACGGGAACGAAATGAGGAAAGAGACGGATGTAAAAAAAAAAAACAGGGCAGGTAAAAGAAAGGGATGAATGGAGATGTGGAAATAGGTATCGCGTCTTCGCTTCGATTTTATCTACTTGTATTAATCGGTATAACCACTGTAGCTATTTATTGAATGATCTATAAACGGGTCGTGTGTGTGCTACACGGATGTTCTTACGATGTATGGAGGGGAAAAGAACCTCAGCAGATACTATTACGCGAGCAGAACTTTCGACAAAATTTGAAGGTGTGCACGTATCGTTACTCACTGTATTCGACCTATCTTTAATTGTTATACTCGTATCATATGCATTAAATAATTCTAACACGATTCATGCCGTTTTATCGATAGCTATTATAAACTTCCTTCCTCTAGCCTTTTCTTACTGATTGTCTATACTTATCACATGGTTACGATAATGATGAAATAAAGAGCGAGTGTCGATATTCCTTTAGCTCCAAATATTCTCCAGTTCTCCGAAGTGTGGATTAATTTTTTGCATGATGTCCCTTTATCAAAACGTATGGAGATTTAAGGACACGCTCATGCTCGAAGCGTGCGGAACGAAGATGGAGGACGAGATACCGTTTCCGTTTCACCGTAGCCCCTGGCGAGGTCCGATACGACACGAAGAGGATGAACACTGAACAATTATGCGTCTTATGGAGATTACACGGGACAGCGGTTTGAGTAGCGCACTTGGAAATAATTTGAAGGACTCTCTTCCTCTTCTTTACCCGGATACGATGGCTTGTCAATCGTTGCGGCACGTTTTGTTGTTAAAGTGATGAGCATATTCTCTGCGTTGAGTCCAATTGAGTTTAACAAGTCTTTACTTAAGAGACAATGACTCTGCGGTTTGATTTAATTGTGAATCACTTTCGGTGTACATAGTAATCGATTGGTAATAATAATTCGGTATCGGTTTCGAGAATATGAGTGACTGGGATTTGAAAAGTATTCCATTTAACTAAATCATTTTCTATCAGCATTATTCGACCGGTAAAAAATGTGGATCATTGATTTGTAATGACTAACGATCGACTGATTATTCATTAGCTTTTTCTATTAGTAAACTGCAGTTCCTTCTGTTATTTTTTCTGTTAAATTTCATAGATGGAGGAAATTCCAATATGTTCGATCGCAATTATAGCGATGACTTGGACACTGTTTCGAACGGATTCCTCATACACGCAATAGCAATTCTTCTTAATTCGTTTTCTCGAAAACGAAGCCCCTTTGTTCACTGCTTCGGTCCCGCCTTTTTCCTGCACGAATATCGTTCGCAATTAACGGCGCGCGTTTGGGACCCAGTAATACGTTTAAGTGTAACAAATTAGCAGTCGAACGTCTGGAATTACTTAAACACTGGTCGTTGCTGAATGGAATTTTTCAACATTTTCCGAGAAAAAATTCTTTCATTATTTATACAAGGAAATAATCTACTATTTAGCATATTATTTAATGCTAAAACATGCATACGTAACACGTGTCAGGAGTAAGAGATATGCAGGAAATAGTAAATAAAGTCTGGCATGCATAAAATGTACATTAGACAAGACGTAGATATGTCTCATTCTTGTCTCATCAAATTATGTAAATTAAAACGCATTATACGTCTTCACTAATTACATGATTGCAAATTATTTCTTCGCTCATGCTTAATAAACTCGTTAATTGTACTTTGTAACTTTACAAATTTTACTTACAGACTTCAATTTCTCGCTACAGTGACTCCATTAACCATAAAATCTTCAAGCTATTAGGCTAATCAAACCAATTGGTGAAATATGCACTTTTTTAATATATTCTTAGCAAACTAAAATTAGTCCATACTGTAGCACATAATGAGATGCTCGGGTTACATACAGTAGCTACGAATTATCCTTAATGATGAAGTTAATAATATGTTAGAATAGGATCACATCGTTAAAAATGAAGATACGGTTACTCGGAGTATGTAGCTCGGTAACAAAAACGACATTGGTGAACAGTCGTTGAATTCTTCCTCACTATTAAAGAAAAATTTATTTAAATATAACACAGATACACATACTGGGAACAGTTATTGTCGTTAAATATACGTGTCTGTCAAATAATTATGTTATGAGTTATTAAATTAAACGTTTTACGACTATGCTTGTAACACCTATAAAATTCGTTGTAGTTCGTGGCTCTTAATTTTACGATTATTTTTATTTACTTTTCCACCATTTGCCCAGCAAACGGTAATTCATATTTGTCTCGTTGTCACGTTTTATATTAAATTCAATTGCTTGGAAGTATTGGTAATCTGCAGTTTTTAATGAAAATAATAACTAAAATGATGTAATTGCCCTTTGAAAGTGTATTGGAATCCTAACATCCATGCTTGCTGTCATGAATAACAATTCTCAGGACGCACGAGGACAATTTTCACCAAATCTGAATGCCAAAAAAACGTGTATAGGTACGGTTCGCCGCTTGTAGCCACTTGGAGGGACAACAAACTGGAATGTAGTGAGTGATTATATGCACGCGAACCTCGTAGTGGAGAGAAAGAGAGCGAACAAAAGGAGGATTAACAGGAAGAGGGATAAAAAATTAAACGAGGAGGCAATGAAATTTTAGCGCGGTTTTCCCGCGCGCGTCGGCCGGTCGGCTCTATAAAAGCATTGCATCCCCTTAGCCACGGTATATTTCTGCATTATATAAGCAATATAGTCTTTAGTTTATACCCGGGACGGTGCAGTTAAACGTTGCGAGGACTTTTATAGACCTATACACGAATTCCCGTACTTATGCCCGGTTACGACGCCCGGCTTATTTCCACTTGAACACAGATATGCTACACATACGTTCTAACACGGATCGTTTCGTCGTCGTTTCTTGTCAGCGCACGATGGAAAATGCATTCATACCCAAGATGAATGGGTTGCCTTTCGCTGCGAAGTGCTAACCCTTGAACAGTAGCTGCATTTTTCTGCTCTAACGATCAAAAATCGGTCTCGGATTTCTACCGTACGGGAGGTACACGCGACTTTCGCGAATTCGATTGTTTTTCAAAAATTATAAGAACAGCATTAATCATTTGAAAAATATGAGAAATGACGTGTTTAAATCCAGCTCTTGAAATTCATTTCATATAGTTTCTTTAATCGTATTTAATAATTTTGCACGTCGAGTATCAAGAAATTAGTTCTCCACTTCCTTTATATAGGAAATATTTAAAACAGAATGTTTATCTATACGCAAGCACTATTTACAGGATGTTCTATTTCCACTTATCATAATTACTTTAATACCGGTACATCGACTTCACGATGGTGGCTGAGTGTCCCGATAGCAATAAGAAATGTACTATAATTACATTTACATTTGCTCCGTTACAGTGTTCCTCACTTTCAGATATTTTACATGAATTCACGGTGCATTAATAGCTCCTCGTATGACAAGAAGTTTCATGCGCATTGTTAGTCTATCTCGCTCTAACTTAACCAGGAACGTTGTTATCTATCATCTACCCGCTTGTCAGTTCCCTTCATAGTAATTAATCCGTTTTAACGTTCGTTGATATGGAATGAATACCACTTGTTAGAAAGCCTTCTGAATGCCATAAAAAGGTGCGCACTATCTTTGGAACGAGTATCGAGCAGAAGGCCAGCCAACATTCTGGATTCAAGAACCAATTAGGTGGAACTCGATGTACGTATGTATTTATAGATATGCATTTCATCGCATTGCTTTTAAATTATGTTCACCTTTTATTTTTTACTTTTCGCATTTTATTTCTTACTTCATTTCTCTCTAATTAGATTTTGTTATCCGAAGTGTTAAACATTCGTGTAGTTGTCAGATACAAAAAAAGGTCTTATGCAATTTTCTTCTAACTCCATTCATTAAGAAGTATGTGACGATGGACGAAATAATTCATTGATTACTCTTGAAGTATTCGAAATATAAAAAATTGTATACGACATTTCTTGTAGGTAATAGTAGTACTTATGTACAACAAATTTTCTCGCTAGTATGAACAATTAACTAATAAACAAAGTTGTTTATTGCAAAAATTTTTGTTCGTCCAATCGAGACATGTTTCATACAAAACTCTTAGCTCTACTTGTCAGCTACAAATACAGGTCGTATACAATTTGTTAATTTCAAAACGTCAAAATGATGTCAAAATCTAGTTGCATTAATGGCAGATCGAGCACTGAGAAAACATATATAGATTTATTACTATTTTTTTTAATCTTGATCCTCTAGCTGGCCAGGAATCATTGTCCCAATCTGTACAATATGAAATGGCACAATTCGCAGCATGAATTACGAGTCTGAAGTTTTGAGATGCTGAGATATACGTATAAACGAAAATCGGTCGCGACAGCTCGGGTTCGATGATCATGAATAACTCTGCGGAAAGATCGCAAGATACGATAGCGGCGCAACTATGCGGTCGATCAAGTTTATACACTGTTTCAGACCGGACAAGTTTATACACTGTTCCAAACCTGCAATTGGCAACTCTATCTGGCAGCGGTTCCCCAGCTTCTTACATTTCAATTGTATGAATTATATCACTTATATGTATTTTTGTATTATTTTTGGCACCGTGACAGGCCTGGTTATAAACAGAGAAAACGAGGCGCCTCGCTGCCAGATTATGTGAATGCCTTTGGATCCGCTTCAATTATTTACGCCGATCCTCCAGAGCGGTGCACGGTTTACTGCAACGTTTATTTGCTGCTTCACGGCATTTGAGAGTAAATCTTGCCATGAAATAATCGTTTCTGTACTCTCTACTTTCGTACATAAGAATTTGACCCAACAGATTTTTACATTATTATTATTATTATTATTATTATTTTAACATTTTCCTAAACGTCAGCCGCAACGCAAGTCATAACGTAAAATCGATATGTTAGTATTACAGTATTGAAATCTAATATTTCTGTGCTTGGATCAACGCGGATCATGAGGCTGCGATTTTCACAATCCCATTCAAAAGTTTCGACCCGTGTGATATATAAAGTTTCATACAAATAAATAAAGATTGACTTTAATGAAAATCAGCATTGATTACTTCATCGAAAGTTGCAACTTCTTATGAAACTTTTACTTACGAGTAATTTTCCCAGACGATCGGATCACGTTTAAGCGACGGTCTTTTTTTTCAACGGGACACGTGCAATTGGAGGCTAGATGATACGCGCGACACGTGCCTCGAGCTCGTACACGACAAGCAATGATGTAATTAACGTAAAGCCACGCTTAGATAATACCCTTCTTCGTGCTGTGAAACACGTCATAGCTCTAGTCAGATAAGAAACGTGAAAAGTATTGCAAAATTGTTTCCACGTGTCGCATGAATAATAGAGATCATCCAAGTGATATACAACTCTAGGATATTGCAACGGACGTTCATTACGATGCTAATTGTAACTTAATGTCCACGGAGAAGCCGCGAATGCACAACGAGATCCTCCGTCTCTTTCGCTCATAATTTTTTTTAACTCACAATTCAAATTGCTATTGCGCACGTGTAGTATATGAAACTATTTGTATGTTAACTAAGACAGAAACGTTGTATCTATGCACATGTGTAAAGAAGCACGTTGACCGACACGTAAGCGGATTTTTGCTTCTTGACCTCCGGACGTTCTCCAAAGCGTACGAGAAGCGGGCGCGGACGCGGGAATTGAATTGAAAATGAACCGGTTGCGTGATCGTCAGGTCGGATCGAATGGAATTGCAGTGACAACCCGATCGGCCATTACGATGGTCAACCGCACAGAGCGACAAAGTGTACAGATTACATATTTTTCTGTTGAGAGCCGATCGAGCCGGACTGGTCAGTGATCGACACCGACGTGAGTCAGGCTCGGTCGGTGCGGTGCGATCATGCATACAGCGGCGTGCTGACCAATAGCGTGGACCGCGTCGTTCTCCGCTTCTGCGTTTCACGTCCTGGCGATACCCGTTATGTCCAAAATCATATCAGTTTTGTTCGGGACTGTACCAGAAAGCAGAAATAGCAGACCGCCGATCGGATCATATCCAAGGTTGCCACCTCTTCGGCTTTGGCCCGGAGAGTCTTCAGGTTTTAATTCAAATCTCCCGATTCCGGTTTTACATGATGTATCTTCGGTTGAAACAAGTTCATTAGATCGTTATCTTTCGAATAAAAACTTGTATCCGTAAACAATACCGCGCTTCGCAGGTCTCAGGTGCGTCGATTCGATCGTCAGCCGAAGAATACAATCGTTCATAGAAATACATTTCAAAGACTATGAGACACTTTTAATGCCTCTCTAACATGAAATCAACATAACAGGCGAAACTTTTGGGTTAATAAATTCATAACGTTTCTGAAGCTATTTCGAAGAAGTGTATAATTTTTGCCTAACGTCATTTTTAAGGCGATAATAATTTACAAGATAATAATTTTGTTATGCATGCAGTTTGCATGCGCAGTGTTATAGTTGCACAAGGTTTATCAATCATGACAAAGCGTACAGACATGCTAAATGTCACATCTTACTATTTTAGAGCTCACGAATGCGCTTCGAACACCACGTGACCGCCGCGTGCGTCTAATTGTAAGTTAGGTGTCACTCGGATGAAGGTGCAAGAATTCCGTGTCAGAAGTTTGTTTTAATTTCACCTACACATTAAATTATGAAGAGATGAATAACGATTATATATATGTGCAATGCAGTGCATTTTCCTCCAGAAATAAATAGCTTAACGCACGACTAATTGTAAGTATATTTTACAATTTATATTACAATTATTTGAAACTTTATTTATGTGGAACACCCAATAATCTAAAAAAATAATCAAAAAAATCTTTTTAAGTTATAATTCACAGTCGTGAAACGTGTTACCATCACGAATGCCTTAACAGATAGCATTATCAGAATAAATGCACTTCTACATCGAAACGATATCGTATCTCGAACGTGTTAAACTTGCTTGTCAATATAATCTACAGTTTAGTGATTCAGATTTCATCCATAGATCGTAAATATTCGGTTTCAAAAATTGGCGATCATAGTGACGGAAAACTTATGATATTTTCACGGTTGATTGGAAAATGAGAATCGACTAAATAAGCAATGCAAATCTGTTATCTAATCAGTCTCACGTTATGCTAGTAATTTTCGACATTTTAGATCATAGTAGATCGAGAAAATTCGGGGTCTCGAACAATCAATATATTCTGCTCGGATCCGCTTAATGTTTGTCGAGCAAAGGACTAATATTATGGTAAATTACGTATTTAAATTCCATATAATAGCCCCGATCTGTTCAGTGGTTTTTTTTAGAGCGAGGCAACCCTCCAATTTTGTTTCGATCACATTTTATTATTTATTATTCATGCGAGCCGAGCATGAACCCCTAGGGAAGGCGCACCAAGTGACTACTCGTTTCATTCACGAACGCACATGTACAAATCCACAAACGCGCTCGGTTTCGTCCAACGATCGTACGCCACAACTGCCCCGCGATTTCACGTGCGCAAATACTACCACGTATGCAACATCGTAAATTGCTACGTGCCCTGGAAGAAAATGCCGCGCTGCGGTTTCTACGTTCATGTCGCTGTTATGCGTTCAGCTTTTTACCCGCGCTACCACCATCTTAGGTTACAAATTCTGTCGGTACTTCCTTCCCTCCGTCAGCGTGTCGCCGTTTCTTTTTTTCTCCTCTCTTTTACCCTGTTGTTCGCGCGCCTACCCACCCATTGACGGTCCCGCCTCATTCGTGATTGTTCCATTTTTGTTTCACCGATTCCCTCTTCTCCGATCACGCATGGACATTTCTGCAAGGCACAACAGCGCCTGCAGAGATGCACGAACGGGGCAGAGTACAAGCGTCGAGGTACAAAGTCGTAAGAAAAAGGTATAGTGTAATATAAAGCGGGCGAGAGAGACGGAGAAAGGGAGAAGAAGAGGGCGGATTGAAGGTGAGAGGGAAGACATGCAAGGAAGAACGCCGGGGAGCCGGTCTTACGAAACAGAAAAAAGAAAGCTGCAATAAGTCTGAAACTCGCCTTTGGCTGATCGCTGTCTTGTACACGTTGTAAATGGAGATCATTGCCATTCGATGTATCAAACCTTGAGCCGGTCGGCCCTTCGGGCACCGAAGAAGCCGGTATTTTCCACGCGACGCAGATTCGGATTTCTTGTTACGCCAATGCGATGTTCGGTTCCTCGTTCAGTATCAGGCATTGCGTGTTCCTTTTTTCCTCCTGCTCATTCTACGACCGTTTATCTAGTCTTAAGATCCGTTCATATCTGAGTAGGCTAGCCGCAGAACACATACTGTTAAAGCAGCAACCAGATACTTGTTATCCTTTAATTAGCTCGATAATAAAAAATGTACAACGTGGAATGAAATTAAAGGAAGCCCATAGTCGGGATAAAAAATGTTTAACTAATATAAAATGATAGCGGATAAAACGGAGTTTGAATCAGATGCATGCATAAATTAATAAGTGGCAGGTGTTACCAAAAATTCAAGTAAATTGGTCACGTTTGAACAGCTGCAGATTTAATTTATACTTAAACTGATTATCACATTCGTCCATGCATGGTTTTGATAAACAACCAAATAATCAGTGAAGTAAAAGTATAGTTCGCGTAGAATCATAATCGTGAAAGTAATTTTGTTAGAGTACTAAATTTAATAGAAGAATTACAATGTTACGAATATAACGGGATTGGTTAAGGGCACATGTCTAAATAAATGTTATATACAGTGTGAGTTGAGCCTAAATCGCGTCAAGTGCTACCATATCGTACGTCTACGCGCCGACAAAGTAGCAATGTTGCACTAGGACTTGTTCCATACCATTCATCTTCCTTGGTGCTAAACTCTCCATTCAAGATTGCAGTTGGACGGAGATATCAAGCATAGGCGTAGGCAACTAATGGATTTCTACCTTCACACGTGAATCACGTTCAGAGTCTTCTGACAATAAACCATTTACTCCAGTGTTATTTTATTTAAAATAAAAATTAAACAATATGGTTTCTTCTTTTTTCACTCCACGATTTTATTCATAAATTATTAAACATTTTTCAGATATTTAATATAGTTTGAGTATTGCCGTGTTCGAACAGAATTTACATTTGAAGAAAGTTTAAAACTGTTTATATATGCAATTGCATCGCGATTCTCTTTTCATTCTGCACCGGCTGAGAATTTTGTATATTCGGCGTGTCAGTTCCCCTCTGCTTGGACTACCGCGGCGATGCCCAAAGCATGCGATACGCCCTTGGTTTTAATTAGAGGCACTATATTCTCACAGGAATTTTCATCATGATTAACCGTAATCATTTTCGGTGATTGTATAAAAGCTCGCGGCATTCCCAAGATGTCTGAGGAGGAATAGTGAAAAGTGTTTGTAACGTCCGTTAAAATTACAGATCTTTAATAAAATTGGAAGTAATAAAAAAATGAAATTTGATAGTCTTCAAAATTGTAGCGTTGTAATCACGAAGTACAGTCGCTGGCAAAAGGATATTCCATCTTACGACAAATTACAAAGTGAATGAAAATTTATTATTTTATTACTACTTAAACGTTTTAATCACTTTGCATATTTACGTGTTATATCAACTATGAATAAGTTTATTAATTGTTTTATGACAGTACTTGCTTAGGGGTTATTCCAGTTTAAAGCAAACAACGGAACGAACGAAACCGCACTAGTATTACTCGTTTTTCTAGGCAGCTGAAGAAAACGAATTCCTTCGCGTAGCCTCGACACTATCAGGCGTAAACATGCGATCGACTAGAGGTGGAGTTTGACTAGACAAATCCATTCATCATTATTTATAGCTTGTTTACGACTCTTGGGAGAAAATTTATATGTATGCCAGTTAACAATAATTTGAATCTGAAATAAAAAGATCATAATTTGGTTTGACATGCGTTTCAATGTAATAAAAAAATAGTTTATATTCATTGCAAAAGTGTCAAGATTTCTTTTGTACAATAAATCACGAATCAACTCGGAGCATTCCATATACACATGTACTATGATTGAAAAACTTGTTGCCTGGGACTGTATGCACAACATTGTAACCACAATTTGCCCCCTTATCTCGACTGGTATCGGTTAACCGAGATCGTGCACCGGTTTCCCCCTTTCTGGTTCTACCGCATGATAATCTTCTGTCGATTGCTTGGCAACGGAGCTCGGCAGCAGCGACGAGATATTGGCGATTCAGAAAAGAATTTGCAACGCATCTCTTTCCTTTATACTTCATAGTCGAAAGATATTGCCGCCTCCGAGGGTTTCTGCATCTCCCCTGCCATTTCTTTCTGCCTTCGACTTGTACGCTATAATCGAGACGGTAGGAGTTGTTGTTTCAAAACCTCATTGCGGGCAAGAGCTTTTTACGCCGGTAAACCAGTTTCTTATATCACGCTCGCAATTTTCTCTTTTGTCTTCAATCTGTACTGCTACTATCTCTAACTTTTTCATCTTCACTATAGAAACTGTTTTCGCGTTGTTGCTCGTTCACGTTCGATATGACAGTCAAATGAATGAAACGAAACTCTGAGAGTTTAACCCTGAATTTCCTTACTGATTCACCCCCTATCTGCAGACCGATCTGGACACGTTATTGGAGTATGATTTATCTATCGACGCGATGGGAATAGAAACAAGGCGAGCTAAATTGGAAGCGAACGAATGGTACGCGTGAAGAATCAAATAAACTTGACGTCTGGCGGAACAAAATGATACGAGCCCTTTTAAAATCGATCTTGGATGGTTTCCGGCGAAGAATCTACCGATTCGTGTGTACAACGAGGCCGGTGTGCGGTTACATCTGATGCAGGCTGGCACCGACGAGAGGTCAGCCACACCGCTGGTTATTTTCAGCCCTCTCGCGTCGTGATTTAGCCCTCTCACCGGCACGAGTGACTTCTTACTGACACCCGTGTCTTCTCCCAACACGCGCCAAGTACGCTAGAAATTGTTTGACGGGAGTCGTTCCACCGCCGCTGACGCAGGAGCCGGACGATGTACCCGTTATTCGCTGCGTGATGTATGAACGCCACACGCGCCCGTTGTCATACGCGTGTCTCGCGTAAAGATAATGCGTAGGTGTTACGCTATGCCTCGAGTAGAAGGTTCTCGGCCAGCCTATCTTGCAGTATAAATAGGCGGGCGTCACATTTTGCATATTATGTGTTCTAGTAATTGTGTAGAAACAATTCGCTGATAATTCTCGCCTGATATCGTATGAAAATTCCTGTGCTAGCTACCTTAGAACAATGAATGAATTAATTAAAGAATATTTTAATATTTATGATTTGACTCCCATTTGAAGATATTTATAAAACATGTACAATAATAAACACGACCTCTTATTTCACGGCAAATGTCTGTGAATTTATACATTCTTATAATTATCTGTTATCAATCGTGCCGATTAAATATCTGCATGCTGCAAGTGTGATGTAAGGAGTTGATTTTTAACAATCGTATAACACTTATCCAACGTAATTTATACGATTTAAATATATTTTTTATCTCGACTCGCTTTTTATCTATATTTGCGATCAGAAAGTAATAAAATTCAATCATGCATGGTAAATGAAATACCTGTTCTTTACTTAACACTCAGTCAGTTGACAAAGTGTACATGCAACATTCTCCTATCTTACAATTTTCTATTTATTTGCACAGCTCGTGCTCCTGTTTACTGCAATTACATAAGAGTGTCGTAGAGAAGTGAAATTTCGAATTGATAAAGAGAGAGAGAGAGATATTGGAAAATATTGATAAATATTTCAAATCTCTTTTCTCGAAGCAGAAAATCGGCGCATCTGGTTTGATCGTCGAGCACACGTACGCGCTTAATTTCCATCTCAAAGCTTGACGCCTAGACTTGCAGGGAGAGCAAGCCTTTAAATTAACTTCGATAGTGTGTGTAAGGTTAAAAGGGAAAGAGAGTTCTATCTTTGCACGGCAAATAAGCCTCCGTCAATTTGCTTGGTACACAAGAAAGGTGTCTGGACCACGTTCGACGACCGTGGACCGACGCGACGGAACCGTGGCTTGTTGGCTCTTCGGATTGGCCGATACTGATGCCTACCGCAAAAAGCGACCGCGATCCACGATCTACGGCTGATAATAAGATTATAAGAAACGGTAGAAATCAATCAGAAATCACTGGCACGAGATTAGCGATAAGCAATGAGTAGCAGCACGAATGCGCGTGGACCCAGGGTGGGCCGAAAAAACCGGTTCTGCCTAATGATGGACTGCCTACTTACTCGGCTCGAGATTATAATGCACTTTTCTGGTTTCAATATCCTTGCTGCTAACTTTTCACCATAGGTAGGTACGTTCTTTTGATTTGATCGACGCGATGCGATGCGATGCGGCGATGGGATACACAAAAAAGCGTGCCGCGGCGAACACGAACACGATCCGTTGAGGTAACAGGCGTGCCGCGAAAAAATGTTCCGGCTTTTTGATTTAGTACGTTCCTCGGCCCTGAGACCGGGGACCACCATAGCCACGAACCGCTTTCATCGGCTCCATGGGGATAAGAAAACATCGAGCCTTTTTGTTAAAGACCTTCTCACTGCTTTTGCAGATTTCAATCCAATACTGTACTCTGGTCAAAAATGTTCCTTCACGTAATCATGGAACGTAAATCACATTGTATTTTGCTTTTTACCATTTTTTTTGTCAATTTCTCAAGTCACTGGAACCATTTGAGAAATTATGAATTTGATTTTTACGAACGGCATTACGTTCATTTTTATCTTCGCCATTTTACAACCGATATCCCCTTGTCGCTTAATTAGAGGACTATTGACGAAATTAATTCGCTAATACGTTTCGGGCCATGTCGGCCTCGCGAAATTCGATTTTATAACCGAACGGTCTGGCATTCAACGAGCAAGAAGCTCGATTAAAGAAATCTGTTGTGTCTCGATTAATGGGTGTTGCTGCTTTAGACTGGTACTGGTAGTAAATTTTGCGACATCATGTTTGGGCTGGTCGTAAACCTTGGAATGCAAACGAGGGTGGATGGCGGTTCAGATGTGAGGAACGAAATGTGGCTAACATTGTGATATTATTCGCCGGCCGATCGTAAACAGTGGAATCTAAAGAAACAACTTGTCCTCAAATGACCTGACAACTTTGCCAACGGGCCATTTCGAAGAATAGTCCACAGGCATTCATGATTTTCGCAAAGCTCTGCGTTTATTACAGACATACACGTTTAATTTCGATATTCGAGAAAATTTCAGCGAAATGCTACCAGTCACAATTAAGTTAACATATTTAACTTAATTAATTGAGAATTTGTGTTATCTGTTATTAAGAGCTGTTTGAGGATTTATAAAAAGAACGTTTAGATAATTTCAGATAATGGATTATATTAAATAGTAAGCTTCCCATTAATAAAACAGTTCATTCCTTTTATTAATGCGTCCACTTTAGAGGAACATAAAGATTGCATGTAAACTAATATTACAGAAATAAAATTAAACGATCGTCGTAAGTGAATGTTTGTACAAGCAACCAGCATTCGAGCGCACTCTACGCACTTGACAATTGAACGTGTACGCTCTGGCCCTGTATTTTCCTCCTACTTGCGTTTCTGTCGCCGATAACGCAGAACTACAACTTCGATTCATGCACCGAGGAGAGATTACTAAAGAGTGGCAACGCCTGTGTTAACGCGCGGCCCGAAAAAAGGGCCCAAGAGGGCTCGAACCGGCAAGGTAGATTTATGAAATCCTACAGAATGACTGTTCCGGAGTGTACCAACCTTCAGGCTCACCGATGCCGGTGCCGATGCTTTTTTCCAGCACGATAGGTAATAGGTAACCGTCGAACGTTGATATTATCAACGTTATACTTGATTCGAGATTAGTACTACGAAAAGAGAATAACTCGTTTTCAAATTTTGTCACACTTGTATTACATTATTTTCATTAGTGCACACCATATTTTGCATTTGAAGTAAGAATAAAAGTAATTGGCATTTAGTATCTTAATGAATATCAGTGTTTAATTGAGATTAGTTTCTGAATTAATATTCGGAAAATCGGAAGTCATTGGAAATTGTAGTTCTTCATTTGTTAGCGTATCCAAGTCTAACTCGTGAATTCAGTTCGGACATTGATTTTAAGTAGCCGTACCTCCTAGGTACTACCTAGGATTGATCACTTGGGCAAGGATTTTAAAATAAAAATGCCAAGATTCGTTTCATCCATTTATTTGTTAATCCAAAGGAAATCAGATATTTGCCTTATCGCAATATTTATTAGCGCA